CAACCTGTGGAACTCCTTGATGCAGGAGTCTGTGAAGGCTAGAACTATAACAGAGTTTAAAGGGAAGTGAGATCAAGTCATGGAGGTTGGGTCCATGGAGTGCTATTAGCCAGGGGGTAGGAGTGGTGTCCCTTCCCAAGGTTTGTGGAAGGCTGGAAAGGGATGGCATGAGACAAATGGCTTGGTCACTGTCTTCAGTCCATCCCCTCCAGGGTCCCTAGGGTTGGCCGCTGTCGGCAGACAGGCTACTGGATAGATGGACCTTTGGTCTGACCCAGGACGGCCATTGTAAGCTCAGGGCTCAGAGTCGGGGGTTTCAGTGGACCACCTTGATTTTCATGCACACCTGCTCCTGGGTGGCCAGGCTGGCAGCTCTCCTGCCCTAGACGGCCACTTTCCTGTGCCTAGTGCGGAGGTCGTGGACGAGGGCCACGAGGTCCGCACTAGCCCAGGCGGGCACCCACCTCTTGCGGTCCCGGGCAAGCTCCCGGGAGCCGCCAGCCTAGTCCCGGGAAGAGGGGTAAGGCTGGGGGGCATCCAGTGGCTGGCTCGATCCGTGCCAGGTGCAGGGGCTGCTGGCAGGGTGCTGGCAGGCTTGCACCTGGCACGGGCACCGTAGCCAGCCCGTGCTCCTTTAAGGGGTCCGGTGCCGGGAGGGGGGCAGACGAGTTTCCCTGGTGTTGGCCAGAGTGGCCACCAGGGAAACCTGGGGAGGGCTAGCCTCCCCCTAGTTCGAATTAAGGGGCTACACACCTCTTAATTCGAACTAGCGGAGCGCTTAGTTCGAACTAGCTAGTTCGAATTAAATTCGAACTAGCGGAGCGCTTAGTTCGAACTAGCTAGTTCGAATTAAATTCGAACTAGCGGAGCGCTAGTGTAGCGCCTATTAAAGTTAGTTCGAACTAACTTTGTAGTGTAGACATACCCTAAGGGAGGAGGAAAGCAAGCCTCCCCAGGAGAAATCAACCCCTAAAAGTCATCCTTGGATGTCATCATTCCTGAGTGACAACCAGACATTTGGCCCTCATGAAGTCTCAGCAGCCTTCTGCATTCCCTCAGCTCCACAAATCTTAGTGGCCTTTACTCATTTCCATGAGGACCAGTTGTCAGTTTCTCTTCACAGTATATCCTGTTTTTTTAAGTTCCTGCAACAAAGGGAACAGAAGGAATCTGGTAACTCCATTCCACAAGTATTAGGCATCTGTCTAGGTGGGGTCATGCAATAAGCTGACTAAAATTAATTACAAAAATGAAGGGTTTAGTAGTTCTTTGACAATGAAAACTTGTAAAATCCTGCCATTTCTTTGCAGATCCACTGCTCAAGTTACTGTAGTCTGCCTTTGCTCAGAAACAAACTTGCTCTTTGTGAATAGCTGAGGATGTGTCTAACTGTCTGGAAGTCTTTTCTTTATTTAAAGCCCTATATGATCTCTTCAAGTGAATCCATTCATTTCTCAGTAGCTGCTGCTCTTGACTCCTGTGTGCTTCATTAACTGAAACTGATTGTCTCATTTTTGTATGCAGTGTTGTTGTATCCGTGTTGATTCCAGTCTATCAGAGAGACGTTTTTATTCAGGTCATATTTATTGAGGTCATAACTCCTTGCAGGCTCTCTCTAGAAACAAGGTCTGTGAACACTTCTTTTATTGTGGGGATACTCTGTCTTTGTTACCGGAGACCCTGCCCTCTAAAGGGAGAAAAGGAGGGTGAATTACAAGTATGTGGTGTTAGCTGCAGTGTGAAACAATTATTTTGCAGACTAAGTGAGAGGTTTTCTTAGGGTGTCCAGAATTGTAAGTCACCTTGTTACCTGTCTGCTTCTCCAAGGCTACCTCTAGAATACATGGCTTTTTCAAAAGATACTTTCAAAAAAGCCTCTTTCGAAAAAGAGCATCTAGAGTGCACTAAGCGGATTGAAAAAGTGATCCACTTTTTTGAAAAAGAAAAAAGGGCACCCGGAACCACTTCTGCCAGGGCATGTGGATAGCCTTTACTTCTGGGTCCTACAGAATGCTCTTTGCAGAGTCATGGACAGCTTCTGCAGTGCTAGCTTTGAGTGCCCTGCTTTGCGGGACACAACAGCAGTTTGGTTTTTGATTGGCAGAGGAGCCATGACATCACGCTGCCTTCCCTCGGCACCAGGGAGAAAAGTGCCCCCCCTAGTTAGCACGTGAGGGCGTCGTGGTGGGGCAGTGTGGGGCAGCACCAACAGGAGCGCTGGCCATGTGCCACTCCGGTCACCTTTCCAGTGGCCGCAGAGCGGGAAATGCCCGAGGGAGTCCCCCATCCATGAAGCAGACTCCGGTGCCCGGGGATAGTTCACGCTCCTCTGACTGGCACCAGTGTGGCCCAACGTGCAGGGGGGCGCACCATGGGCTTTGAGAACAGCAGCGGCGCCGGAGCGCTACGGCCCTGGTAGACGAGCCGCTCTCTCCAGGCTCTGTAGGGCAGATCCAGGGCCGGGCAAGTGGCAGCCCGGGTCACTGCAGCCAGGGACCACACTGTGAGCCTGGTGCCTGTAGTCATCTCTCCACCTGCTTGAACTCACTAGTGACCCCTCCGGCTGGAGCGGGCGCCCTTGGCTAAGGAGTTTGCAGGAGTGTGTGTGTGTGGGAGGGGGGAGGGTAGCATACATTGGCAAATGGGGGGCGACTCTCTCTCCCTTTTTTCTACTTTAGTGCTGGTCGTGGAGGGAGGGGAGAGCTGCAGCCTTAGTGGAGCCAGGCAGAAGGAAGGCCCTGCTTGGGCCAGGATGATCCTCCCTGGGGCCCCCTGGGGCTGGAGCGGGCGCCCTTGGCTAAGGAGTTTGCAGGAGTGTGTGTGTGTGGGAGGGGGGAGGGTAGCATACATTGGCAAATGGGGGGCGACTCTCTCTCCCTTTTTTCTACTTTAGTGCTGGTCGTGGAGGGAGGGGAGAGCTGCAGCCTTAGTGGAGCCAGGCAGAAGGAAGGCCCTGCTTGGGCCAGGATGATTCAAGCAGAGGCACTAAGCTGGGGGGAGGGGAGAGCTACTTTGCAGCCTTGATCTGGCACTGAGGAGCTGCTGAAGGGGGTCTCACCTGCCCGAGCTCAGAGATTTGGGGCAGGGGGAGGGAGAGAGGTGTCCCCGGCCTTGCCTGTTATGTTTCCTGGCTGTGTCTGCGCTCATCCCCAGGGGGACGTGTACAACTTTCACCCCTTCCCCAGGGCACTCCGACATGTCCGCACATGCTGTGGGGAAGGGACACGAGGGTTTGGCGTGGAGAGGGAAAGGAGATGGAGTTCAATCAGTTGGGGTAGGTGGGAGAGGGGAGCGGACTGGGTCCGTTCGGAGGGGGAGGTTCAGGTTTGGCTGGGAGGGAAGAGAGGGCGCAGGGTGGATTAGGTGGGGGACAGAAGGGAGAGCAGACTGGGTCTGGTCACTGAGGGGTCAGGTTTGCCTGGGAGGGGAGAGAAGGTGGATACTGGGTTCGGTGAGTGGGAGGGCGGGGGCGGGATGTGTGTGGACGAGGATGTGTGTGGAGGGGAGATAGGACATATGCTGAGTTTGGCCGGAGGGCATAGTGGGAGTCAAAGAGCTGCAAGGTGAAAGGGGCGCTTTCCTCCTCAGTGCCTGTCCTGCAGCAGTGGGACAAGGCGGGTCAGCCAAAAATTGCTCGGGGCAGTAAAAAACCTAGAGCTGGCCCTGGAAAGGGCAGAGGGAGTGGGGGATGGAGTGGGAGTGGGGGAGGGCTCCTGGCAGGGAACAATTTAACATGTACCTGACCCGGGCGCGCTTGCAGGTAAAATGCACCTTTGGCCGGCTGAAGGGGAGGTTTAGGTGCCTGCTCACTCACCTCGACATGGGGGAACGCAATATCCCTGATGTGGTGGCTGCATGTTGCGTGCTCCACAACGTGGTGGAGAGCAAAGGGGAGGCCTTCCTCCCAGGGTGGGGAACACAGGCTGATGTCTAGGGGAGGCGGTTCAAGCAGCGCCAGACAGCTGCCTTCCTCCAAGCACATCAGGTGGGGGTCTGCATCTCGGAGGGGGAGGTTCAGGTTTGGCTGGGAGGGAAGAGAGGGCGCAGGGTGGATTAGGTGGGGGACAGAAGGGAGAGCAGACTGGGTCTGGTCACTGAGGGGTCAGGTTTGCCTGGGAGGGGAGAGAAGGTGGATACTGGGTTCGGTGAGTGGGAGGGCGGGGGCGGGATGTGTGTGGACGAGGATGTGTGTGGAGGGGAGATAGGACATATGCTGAGTTTGGCCGGAGGGCATAGTGGGAGTCAAAGAGCTGCAAGGTGAAAGGGGCGCTTTCCTCCTCAGTGCCTGTCCTGCAGCAGTGGGACAAGGCGGGTCAGCCAAAAATTGCTCGGGGCAGTAAAAAACCTAGAGCTGGCCCTGGAAAGGGCAGAGGGAGTGGGGGATGGAGTGGGAGTGGGGGAGGGCTCCTGGCAGGGAACAATTTAACATGTACCTGACCCGGGCGCGCTTGCAGGTAAAATGCACCTTTGGCCGGCTGAAGGGGAGGTTTAGGTGCCTGCTCACTCACCTCGACATGGGGGAACGCAATATCCCTGATGTGGTGGCTGCATGTTGCGTGCTCCACAACGTGGTGGAGAGCAAAGGGGAGGCCTTCCTCCCAGGGTGGGGAACACAGGCTGATGTCTAGGGGAGGCGGTTCAAGCAGCGCCAGACAGCTGCCTTCCTCCAAGCACATCAGGTGGGGGTCTGCATCCAGGAGGCCCTGCATGAGAGAGTCTCAGCAGGAGCCCAGTGACTCTCCCCAGGGCCTCCCCAATGGGGCCTGTGGCCTGGCCCCCCCGCAATACCTTTCCTCCCACAACCCATCCCTGAACCAGTTTCTGGACAGCAAACACACACACACACTAGGTTTTCTGACAAAAACATTATGTATTAAAAAACCATCAAACGGTGTGCAAAGAATAGTATTTACTAACAAAATAAACCTGTGTTCAAAATGTTATCAAAAATAAATTTTCTTTTAAATATAATAAAGTCTTTTTAACCGGGGAGGAAAGGGGCTGTAAACCTGAAGGGTGGAGGGAGGTTTAGGGCTTAGGGTGTCGCCTGGTTCGCAAAGGTCTGCTGCCTCGGGTCCGTGGCCCTAGATGTGCTCGCGATCAAGTGTGGTCTGGGACAGTAGGGGGCTGCGGAGGAGGGGGGCTTCAGCTGGGTCTGTGATGGCAGGGGGTGAGGGAGGTATGGGGTTGAGGGGGGTCAGTGGGTGAGGGAGAGGAAGGGGGGCAGAGGAGGCCAGAGCAGGTTGAGTGGGAGGAGTGGCAATGGGGAGCAGGACCTGGGACACCCATGGCCTCCTGGACAGTGCCACAGATTGCTGTCCACTGCTGGAGGAGCTCCTCCAGCAAATGATTGATCCACTGAGCCTCTTCCTGCGTCCTCTCTGCCATGGTCTCTTACATACTTTCCAGGGCCTCAACATGAGGTCATTTGTAGATCCACCAGTGCCTGCGGTTTCCATGGGCCTGGGTGGGTGGTGGGACAGGTGTTGCATGCTGGTCTGCTCCAGCAGGTCTGGCTGTGGAGGATAAGAGGAAGAAGTGGTTGGTCATGCATGCATGCACTGTCCCTGCATGCAATCAGTGAGTAAGTCCTTGGAACAAGGGACACCAATGTTCTCACTGCAAGCCCATGTCTGGCCTGGACAGCAGCCCTAACCTCAGAGGGGCCCCAAGGTGGCTAAGGACACGTCCCCTCCTTCCCCCGCAATAACCCCACCACGGCCATACAGCCCAAATGTCCAGCCACGGTGGGTCACCAGATGTAGGACTGGGGCCTGGAGCAGCTTGGGTCTCCCAGGGCCCCCACCCACCCACCGCCTGCCCATGGCAGCACTGTCTGCGGGCAGGGCTGGCCCGACCCATTTTGGCACCCCGGGCACAGGCATGCGGCACTGCCCCCGGGCACACGGCACCACCCCTGGGCACACGGCGCATGCATGGGCCCACCCCTGGGGTGCGGGCCCGCCCCCCCAGGAATCCCAGGCATGCCCCTGGGGTTCACGGCGCATGCGCGGGCCCGCCCCCGGTGTGCACAGTGAATGTGCTGCCCAGTCCAGCCACTGGCGCGCAGCCCGGGGTCCACCCTCGGGGCACACAGTGCATGAACTGCCCAGCCTGGCCTGTATACCACTGCTGGCATGCAGTGCCTGGCCATGCAGGGCCCCATGGCCGTGGGGGGAAGGGCGCTGCTGGCTGGCGCCGCGGGGCGGGGGGGAGACC